TTCTCGGACTGGGACCTGTTCATATACGTTCTTGGCAGATGATCCAGAAGTGGTTTGCCATTGCCTTCTTCTGTGTGTGAATGGGGTAATTGTTGGGATGCCACGGAGGAAAACTCCGCGTTGCCTAGACCACGGCCTTGCCCAACACAAGTTATAAATTCGGGCACCGCCGGGAATCGAGCCCGAGACCCCAGGATTACAAGGCCAGCGTTCTAAACGCTAGACCACCGTGTTGGTTTTTACACACTCGTAATGTCTGTAGCCTCATTTCACTCTTCACTCTCACGATTTGCACTTGCAAGTACGTGTATTCGTATTGTTCTTAAGAATGTGGTTGACAACCGTTTGTCAGAGGTCAGAAATAATTATTCTTTGGGATTATTGCCGAAACATTGCTAAAATAGTGTTCATCGTCAAATGCGGTAATGTTTGTGACCTACCGTGGCTTCATTTCCCGGCGTTGGCATCGATTCTTTTCTTACCGTGTCGAGACTGGCATCGGGAGGTCACCTTCATCTGTCGTCGATGTTGAGAATGGAAAATGTACCACTACTCCCTCGCACGTCCTTAAGGCGTGGTCCTTATTTAAAGCAAGGAAGACCCAGTGGGGGGGGGGTGAAATTGTAATCGTACCATCAGCGATGATAATCTCAGATTTCAACATAAAAGTTTCAAAGTCTTTAAAAACGATTCTGTCTTTTTAAGGTTTGCTGTTAACGTTCGCTTGTTTGAGAAATGTTGACATTGTGTTGTGTGTACGATGGTTTTTTTTTCCCTTAACTACACCTCACATTCGACAGCCCGGAATCTGCAAAGAGAGCCAAAGAGGCGCTGAATGGAGCTGACATCTACTCCGGTTGCTGTACAATCAAGATAGACTACGCGAAGGTAAGTGAGAATTTGAATTACCTTCGATACTAAATTAATGTCCTGGTGCTTAGTGATTTCTTAAACTGAGTTCCTTCGAACCGTTGACCACCCTGAGAATTAAATTTGTGTTAAAATATAATGAAGCTGTAGCTGTTTCGTATAGAAACATTCTTATGTTGTCCTATTATGCGGTGATAAAGAACACGATCTTAATCCAAGATAGACTTTCAACGTAGAAGTGTAAATTATAGTCAGATTGAGACTTTGAATTTATAACCCGTGTTTATGGTTTATACAAAACAGACTTAAAAATGCACAGCTTATCACATGGGAGTGGTTTATATGCCTCTGTTCGTATGATCCATCCTCGATTTAACACTTAATTCCCCGAAAACGTATCGTGTGAAGATAAAGTATGTTACTAAGGTAGTATATTTGCGTCATATTGTGAATTAGGTTAATATTTTAATATTTTCCGTCAAATCACAATTTTTAATAAGATAATAAAATATTTAAAATATCAGTAATCTGATAAGAACATCTTCAATAAACTGCATAACATTAAAAAATTACTTTATTACGACAATTTTGTATAACACGTATTACCTTTTTTTGTGTTTTATGAAATGTAATACTGGTGTTCAGTTTGCACCAAAGCCGTATTTTGATTTTTTAAAATTCTGTCAATAGTACGACTCTTAAAATATTGTTTTTGTTGGGGTGTTCGCCCGTGAAGTTAGACAGCTAGTACGACAAGAAGTGTCAGAAACGTTCAAACCTTAAAATCCTTTCCTTCTGAATGCTAAAAATCACCACGGCAACAGCGAACGCTTTTGATAATTATTGTGGTGGTGGTGGGGCTTTCTTCAGAAGTGACAAGATTGTCGGCGCCAAGCCATCGGGGTGAACGCGCTTACAGGCTGAACAGTCTTCCTGTCCCTGCTGAGTGGCGGGCATTCCAGTGGGATATATTGGTAGTCGAGTGATGACTTAGTGTCTGTTGTGTGTTTTAAAGGGAAGCTATGAATACGCTCATTTCGCGAGAAATATAGCACGTTTCATGCATATGATTGTATCTAAGTTGAAGTGAATGAGCTACGGTTTGTCGTAGAGAGAGGCAGCCCCACTGTTACGTCTGTGTAAAGCGAGTCTTATTTTCCACAAACGCAGTTGTGTAATTGAGGATTACGTTCTCGAACGATCAAAAGGTGACCGGAAACTTCAGAAGTCGTAGAAATAGGACTGGCCATATACGATTTGAGTGTTACTTCAGCGATATATTAGCCCAAGCTTCGTGGTAAGATGGTTCAGAAATTGTTTTTGTTATTAATCAATTTGTATTTACATTTACAGAATTTATGTTTGTTTACTGTTAAAATGTTACGTATTTACTACAAATATCCACACACAATGTGTTTTGAATATTCCTGATCTGCTTTGCCTTATTTTGTTGTCATTGCTGTTGTTTTGTTGTAAATTTAATTTCTGTATTTGATAATTGTTTTTATATATTATGACCGCTCATTCCTATCTAGTGCCGAGGTTAAGAATGACTAGGGGCTATGCACCTCTCCCCCAAACGCCTACATGGCGTGTAGCGGCACAGCTTTACTTTTTTCAATATATTATAATCTTGTATGATATGAGGTTTTCACAGCTGTGAGTATGAACATTTCTGTCTTCTGGGTTGTTGCGCTGTGTAGTCTGGTAGATGTTCATCGCCCTGATGATGGAGGCAGTATGACCTCCGAAACGTTGGTTAACATCGACCAGATTACACGGCGCAACAACCCAGAAGACAGAAATCTTCATGTTATAATTTTATTTGTTGTCGGTTATGTTATTTCTCGTTTGGCATTTGTGATTTTAAGTTACTTTCCAATTTTTTTTTAATTTTGGAGGTGTTTATTTTTTGTCTAGATAGATTTTGCCCTTACTGCGTTGTTATCTGTCGTCGTGTGTTATGCTCATTATGTCGAATGAATAATCACAATAACGTAAAAGACCCATTGCCACCGATTGTTTATAATTGTTTTCAAAATAATGGTGCACATCATATTTAGACAAGTATGATCGCTTGAAGATGACACTTGCACGTCGAAACATGTAGCCAAATAGCTAATAATGAAATGTGGAAATGAAGAACATTGTTTGAGTAATTTATACTCGGGTGTTCGCCAAATGTTGTTAGGATTAAATTAGGTGGGATTAAATATTCGGACATGTAGCACGGATGGGAGGATATCATTGAATTTATTTTAAAGACGTATTTTTGTAGAGGAGTGTGATGGGTTCATGTGGACAGGGCGATGAACCTTATGGTACTTTAAAAGGCGGGAAAACTCGTGACTGAGTTTCTCAAGAAGAATTCTATGTAATTAATGGATTTGGTTCAATAGTTTGGACATAAGTTTTTGTCGAGCATCGTTTTCGAAGTGGAACTTTGTAACATCTGACCGCTGCTTTGCTTCGTGTTCGTGGTCGCGTGCACACTGAAAGAACTCACGGGCACGCGAACGTACCTGTTGTGTGCAGACGGAGCCAGGTCACGACCCACTTTCGCAGTGCAATTTTGGCAATCGCTAAGCGCCGGGAGGTCTGCAACCCGCCGGCACGAACCCCTGGTTTCAATACGCCATTTGGTCATCTGGAAAGAACGCATCAACTCCTCGGCATTGTCATTGCTGTGTTCCCTCGCTGGTTTCCACCTAGATTATTGCACGCATTTCTTGTTTCACTCATTCATGCCGAATGTCTCGCCCATTTGCTTTATTCGATTTAATCATGAAGTAAGAAGTGCGAAGCTTCTCCGGTCACACTTATTCCCCTTTTAGGTCTAATCTGGAGTTGTCTACCATATTCCATCTCAACCATTTTTCTGTGTGAATTGTCGCTCGGGACACACAGACACGGACTGACGTCCATGTGACCCTTGATGTGATTGGTTAATGCTGTACGTTTTATATATGAAATATTCATAGGCAAATGTAATTAGTATGTGGTAAACCAGCCACGGTGGTCTCGCGGTTAGAACGCTGGCCTTGTAATCCTGGAGTCTCGGGTTCGATTCCCGGCGGTGCCCGAGTTTATAACTTGTGTTGGGAAAGGCCGTGGTCTAGGCAACACGGGGTTTTCCTCCGTGGCATCCCAACAATTACTCCATTCACACACAGAAGAAGGCAATGGCAAACCACTTCTGGATCATCTGCCAAGAACGTATATGAACAGGTCCCAATCCGAGAAAAGGATGGAAGGATCCTGGTCATATGGACCTGTCGTCAGACAGAACAAACAAAACTTCCAGTTTGTATAGAAAATCTTCTCAATATCAAAGTGCTGTTAGGTCAGTAAAATCGAAGACGTTGCTTTGGTTCAATTCTGAAGGGTTTTGACGGTGGTGGATTACACTTCAAATTGTTCATTATCTGGACTTTTTCCATCGTTCTTGTCTAAAAGAAAGAAACCGCGACGTTTCGGAAACTGGCTCTTATTACTTTGGGTTTCGTGTTGGAGGGAGCAGACAACAAACTTGCTTATAGAATTTTTCTGGGGGAAATTTTTGCAGACCGAAAAGTAGTCTACATTTGGATGTGACATAAATATATTTATTTCAGGAGAATTATTCGTGTTTTTTCCGTCTAATCACAATTGTATATAAATAAAATGATACATAAGATATTAAAATATCATTTACATATTTGGTACAACTTTTTACAAAGTAATTAAATTTTAATTCACAATATGACGCAATTATATCAACTTATGAATAACATTCAGGAGAATGGCTAGAGAAAACGCGTGATGGGTGAAAATGGGTTAGGATAGTGTCCAATGGTGTTCTTTCTTTATTATAATTGTTTATCTTCCTGGTTATATTGACTAAGAGATGATTTGGTTCATATTTGTTCGTTAGATAACTTGAAAACCAATCCGTCGTAAGAAAGAGTCTTGTCGGTATAAAGAAATCTTAACCGCTTTGTAGACTAAGATAATGCTGACCTATAAAGTCAAATTAATCGCAAGGAAATCTGAACTTTATAATGCGAGAGCGTAATCTAGAGGAACTGACAAGTGACGTTAGCTTCAGAGATGTCTCAAAGGGAAAAGTTTTAATTAATTCCGTGCGTGTGGTGAAGCTTGAAGTTGGATAAACAGAGGCGGGAATCATGACCCCTTTAACGAATCTCGGTGTAATTAAAGTATATTTCAGGGTTGCAGTAAGCGTCTGGCATTATAGTTAAGGCACGGAAACGTCGCCTATTTGAGGAGGTGCTGCCATCTCCTGACGACGTCGAACACTAATTAGAGATCAGCGTCGTCATTGAAGCAATCATTGCCGTCATTGTATTGGCCGTAACAGGTTACTTTATTTTAAAAAATGTATTATCATAGAACTGGATTACTAAGGATATGTGATTATGTGTTTGTTAATTTTTGTTTCATAAGGCGCTTTAGTTAGAATTGTCGAGATGCAGAACAAATATCATTCTGGCAGAGCGAATGCCAGAGACTGAGGAAACCCACGAAATCACGTCAGGATAATCGATCTCCCAAGTACGGAGATTATAATTTAGTTATCTTTTTACTAAAAATGTTGCTACGAATTATACAGGACGGATTACAGTTTCAATTCTGTAATGAACAGGTGAATTCGGGACTGTCAGAGTGACACTTGTGATGCGTGAAACAAGACTTAGTAACGTTACACATTCCGTAAATTGAACCCATGCGAAATTATTCTGCTGTTTGTTGTGTCTGTAATTTTTTTTCTCTCCAAATTTCTCCCCAAATAATAGACACCTTTTGCCTGTATGTGTTGGGCTGTCTGCTAACATTTTCCTCGTGATCTCGCCTTCAGTTGACCGCCAATATATTAGTAATCTGAAGATTGCTGTCTTCTGGAAATTTGGAAGATTACATAATTGGGGTAGTTACAATTGCTATTAACTCTATGGGACTTGTAGCACGCATGAAGGAAACAAAACTTTGTTGAGAACCCTGAAGGGGAGAGACAGCCA